TCATGGGGTTGTCATCGGTTGCCTTATGTGCTTTTGCTAACTGTACATATGAAACCCTATAAACCGCTGACCCCATAAGTCAAAGTCATCCCACCATACTGTGGTTTTTAGAACATGATATTGATCATTCATTCATATAGGGTCATACTTTATAAGACCTTGCAAAGAGCATAGAACTATTGACATTAGTTTTCTGTCTGTAATGTGCCATTATATTTATACCAGTATACACTTGTCCAGTATAGATAAAAGCCAGTTAATGAGAGGAAACTAAGGTAAATGCAGATTTTTGTGCAGAATAAATAAAACCCTAGGCGCTTCCCAAGGGAGAGGTGCTAATCCCTGAGCTACACTTACCTTCACCCTTCAGATGGTTAAAATCCATATTCTGATTCTAAAAAAAATAGATGACCGTTTCAAAAGCTCAATGAAAGATTGGCAGCAAAGAATCACTTAGATACATAAGAACGCTACACAGCGTGATGGGGCAAGAGTATTCTTAAAGAATCAAGCGATCTAAATTCATATTTGTTTTTATCTCTTTAGATAGTCAACACTGTGAAGTTCCTTTGCTGCTGATCTTTTGTAGCTGTTATAACTGATGTCCTATCCGTTAGCAGGGTTGAGATATAACTTGGGGAGTAAGTGGAGGGAGCTAAATGCAGAACCGGTGATGGGCAGTAAGATCCCTTGGACTTGACATGGAGCCCTGGCTTTGCTCACCTTTATAGTGAATGAGCTTACTGTGAGTCTAGCAGGGTTCTTCAGAAAATAGTGAATGAGCTTACTGTGAGTCTAGCAGGGTTCTTCAGAAAAGGGTGAAGTGTTTGGAGAAGGCAGGAAAAGTGGACAATATAGCTGAATTAGAGATTTTTTTCCAAATCGGCTATGTTGTCCTAGATTGTTCTCTTCTCCTGACTTCTCCAAACACTTCACCCTTTTGTGAATAGACCTGTGAGACTTTGTCTGAGGCTGAGTTAAAGCTGTAGCACAATAAATATATAACTGCAAACTCTAGGTATCCTACACTAGATGCTTGTTGTAAAAAAAAAACCACAATGAGGGGAACTTAAAGGAGAACTATGGGGTTAAGGCTTTTCCCCATAGTTCTCCTTAGGGTAACGGGAGGACACAAACTAGCGTCCTCCTGTCACCCTAGGCTCAGTATACCGTGAGCTGTAGCTCGCTGTATACTGAGACGCCGCAGTATACCGCGAGCTGCTGCTAGCGGTATACTGAGACACCGCAGCTGAAGCGGATCCCGACAATTGTGCCGGTATCCGCCCAGCTTCGTGACTGACAGCTGACTCTGCCTATCTAGAGGCAGAGCCAGCTGTACCCACCCCCTCCCCCGTCCGTTCTGCCAGTCAGCGCTGGCGGATCGGAGCGGTGAGGGGGGAATCCAGCCCCTCCCCTGTCACGGCAGAGAGCCGTGACAGGATCAAGAGGTGAGCGAACGCCGGTATGTGTTCGCTCACCTCCCGATCTACTGAGCCGACCTGTGACAGTCTCATTGTCACAGGTCGGCTAGAACTATGAGGTGAGTGAAAAGCACTCACCTCATAGTTCTCCTTTAACAAAACTAGAGAGACAAAATCTGGAGCAGCTGTGCATGGCAACCAATCAGCATCCACTTTTCATTTTCAAAGCTCAACTGAGCAAACTGAAAATAGAAGCTGATTGTCTGCCATGGGCAACTGCTTCAGATTTTGTCTGTTCCAGTTTTGATCAATTCCCCCCAATGTATGTGTGCCAAAACTGTTGCAGGCCGTAGCTTTATATTCAGCTATACCCCAGTAGTGGGAAAGAATATTATGCTTAACAATTTTTCAAGCAGCCCTTCATTTGTCCACCAAGCTGCCACCATCACCATTTACCTACTGGAAAGTGAACTGTTTTATATGGAACATTTCTTTAAAGCACCCCTGTAGCTTGAATAACAAAACAGGGATGTGAGTGCACCCTGTAATTAAATTAGATTTAAACATATTCTAATCTTTCTAGTGCTCTGTGTTTTCAGTCTTTGTTCTGTTCAAGAGTTATGGATGCTGTTATTCATTTTCTGGTGTATAGCATGTTCATGGTCATACGGTAGCATATTCACCACTGGGCACTGTGGTTTCTTCCACTAGCTGCTACATCACTACTATATCCTGCAGTAACATAGCAGTCGGGGGGGCCTGAGCCACAAGACCCAGCTGGGGACTGTGTATGCCACACACCTGAAAGTGTCAGCGGCATTGCCTCCGTAATCCTTGAAGATAAAACATGCTGCTTTCCAGGAAGCAACAGGTTCATGTTGAGAAAAATGCAATGGCTGCTTTCACTTCTGAAAATCCTGCTTGCATGGCTGTCTGACTTATATTTTTACATTCTAGCTTGGAATGAACATGTAGATTAAGAAAGTAAGAACTCCTAGTCTGCATACTTTGTTCTAAGTAAGTAACTTAGATAGTGCCTTTTAAAACTGTAATAATGCAAGATACTAATCACTTTGACAGTTCACATCTCAAATTGTGCTGCAGAGTAATGTAAATGTATCTGGGTTCTGTCCTTATTGGCGCTCAGACGGAACTCCTCTAAATGTAGCATTTTTTTCACCTTCCAGAGTAAATGTTGCGTTATAAGTCTGTATTGAATTGAAATGTGCAGTGAAATGTGGAAGTGCAGAGAGATGGCTGTCAAAATATCTTCCTGTCAGATAGCTGCGCCAAGTAACAGCAGTCTGCTTCCTTAGCGGTTCACCTAATTGTCAGGGATTTCTGGAGAGGCAGCAGCCCTGCAGCACACCATAATGGTCCATCAGATTGGCACCTGTGTATATTGTGTAATCACTATCCGTCAGGCTTGACATTTTTCCACTTTCTTTTGATGGTGTATATGTGCATTTTAAATGTATAGTTTATAATAAGTAGTATGTCTGGAACATTGGCTTAGTGGAAGAGGCCTTTTCCCCTGCTCTTTTCCTGACACGCAGAGATGGGCAATTGTGCTCCCAGCCTACGCATCATGCAGTACAACGGTCTTTTAGGGTAGAAAAGAGCCCTGAACAACAACTGGCCTTTTTATTAAAGCACCTGACAGGGTTTGTATTGGCACATAATAGCCTGCCAGTCTAGTTTTCTGCCGCATTTAGGCTGCTAATGAACACAGAGCGTTTGTAGTAAAAGTAGTTCTCCAGCCTATCCTTTTCTGTATTTTAGTTTTGGATAGTATGTGAAAGGGTTTTAAATATCTTGTAGGTTTACAATAGTGTCAAGGTTCACATCAGGGAGGTTTCCCTTTACTTTCTGCCGCAGACATGGACAGTAAATAGATGGAAATCCGCCCAAATTTTGAAGAAATCCCTTGTATTGATATAGACATCTGTTACCTGTGACCCTATTAGTAAATATTACTCCCTATTCCTTTTCCAGTGACACCTATAGAATTTTCAATTCACTCACCTGTTCTTTCCCGGTGACACAGGTCACCATGGTATAGTAAGCCCGGAACAGGTAAACAGGCAGAAAGAAAAACCTGACGTAGGTTATAACCCTGCTCATTCTATATAAAAAAAAAAGGTTTTGCCTTGAGAAGTCTGCCTCTCTGTGAGCACTCCCAGTTTGGGTTGTAGACCGTGACATTTTTAAACATCAACACCAGCATCAAGTGGGCACTTTACTAAGCAGCTGCAGTGGATTTCCCACACAAATAGTAACCTCCAACAGTTGCTGGATGCATGGAGCTGATGTTAAAAGCCAAGGTAGGCACACACGTGGACTTTGGTGGTCAGAAAGTGCACAGAAATGCATACTTGGGCATTCCATCGTCCTTTGTATACTCCTGTGACTGACATTTGTGCAGCAAAATTAATTTGGCTGTTTGGGAAGTGCAAAGTAGTGATCATTGTCAGCAAGAAGCAGCTTACTATAAAAATTCAATATATCGCGTGCCAAATGTATTTGTGCAGCAACACCGATATAATATAGTTATTATCAAAAATTAATCGTCAAAGGTGTTGCGCTCTAAGTGAACAATATTACTTAAATAATATTGAACACAAACTTAAAACAGATCGCATTGTAAAAATACAGTGATATAATAAATACATGAATTCAAAAATTGTTTGACATGCATACAATATCTTGTGTTCTTATAAAATGTTCAATCCAAAAAACGAAATGTTGCTCAAATCTAATATGTGGGCGATCTTGTAAATAAATGTCTAAATTAATCAAAACCAATAGTGCACAAACTATTAGTTCACAAAGGTGCTACAATCATAGATATATAATAGATGTGATTGATGAGCCTGTGCACTTAATGTTTAGAACGTATCTTCACCCGTACAGAACTTCAATAGCTGCCTCTCACCTTATGGTCAGACCTCTCAAAGAGATGGTGAATAGTACTTTACCCTGTTTGCCTCCAGGTGGAGTTATCCTGCCCTTAAGGTTCTGAACACCCGGGTACCAAGTTGATGCAATCTGTCTTTCTACTAGTGTGGGGGACTCCACTCATCCACAATAAAATCAAAACAGAAGACAGATTATCACACAGACCATATTCACATTAAAATACTTTATTGATTTAAAAAAAAACTGCTCACATAAGAGGTGTTAAAAAAAACAAACAAACCAGCAGAACACAAAATGAGTGATGAATGATGCAGCTTCCACATTCCCAGGCACGTCCATGGAATTCAAAGCTCCACCTCAACTCGGCAAACCTCACCCTGGGGGCAGTTGAAATACATTAAAAACCTTTAACTTTAATATTACTTTAACTGGCATTACAATTCATTGACTCCAGCTTTGAAAAATGAATATTAATATTTGGAGCATTCAGGGACAGTGTACGAAGGTAAAGAAAGGGGCGGTTATATTTGGTTTTGACACTGTAGCTCTGCTGTTTTGATAAATTACATTATTTTTGTGTAGTATGAAAACAGATTAGTTCTAAGTAATTAAAATGCTTTAAATTTGGATCTGAAATGTAAACATTTCTTATTTACACAGGATTCAGGCTAAAACCCGTGAAATTCGAGAAAGACAAGCTCGGGAAAAAGACTATGCAGAGATTCAAGAATATTCAAAGAATTACAGCATCTCCGACGATCCAGCCTATGCTACTACGGGCCAGTATGACTCTCCTAACAGCGGTACCTTAAATTTGAACAGTAGACCTCAAAGTCCAAGAGACGGAAAGCCAATGGAGGCACTTTACGCCCAAGTTAAGAAACCGAGGAACTCCAAGCCTTCACCTGTAGACAGGTAGGCACCGGGCAAAATATTCAGATGTCCTTAATGATAATTTATAATGTTTTTTGTTTTAGCTGTTGATTTCTGCCCATCGGTGGCTGATTGCAGATCTGGAATCCTTTGTAATGAATGAGATGAAATTTAAGTGGTTTTACACTATTCCTAACTGAAATAAAGTATTTTTTATACAAGAGAAGCCTTAGTCTCTTATCAGCAGTCTTTTTCTAGAGTATAGAGTGCTTATGTCAGAAAGACATTCCTTTCCTTTGATCAAGAGCTTGATTAGAGGATTTTTTTTTTACTTTAAGTCAAAGTCGAAATCATTGTAGATAAAAATATCGCTAATTATACAAGACAGTTTCTTCATTTTGCAGTGGCATTTTAGTGTATGTTTTGTTGGTCGCCTGGTAGTGGAAGCAGATTTATCCATTTTTCTTTTTGGTCCTTTGATATTTAAGTGTTGTTTTATTACAAAGAACGTGTCAGGATTTACTCACCAGCTCCAAATTAGTTCTTTCTGAAAAAGGGTATTTTGCTGGTAGCCTTTTTCTTCCTTTTTAGGAGATGTTCTTCGCAGTAATTGACTTTACTAGCGTTCTTTCGTGTTTGACCTAATTATGAGAGTTGTCTCCATTCTGCTTTGTAATCTTCCATTTTGTCTTTAGTTCACCAAAAGATGCCAGATTTCATCCAGAGCACTGGGGATCTTGATAGCTAAGCAAAAAAAAAGAGAACTCTCTGCAGTTTGTTTGCTGGCAGCTATGTTTAATTGGAAAGTTGTACAATATTAAAACAACCCTTAAGGTTAACCTAAAAGGCAACATTTCAAAGGTTCCTTCCTGACGCTGAAAGGATAGATTAGACTGCAGTTTGACAGTTGTTTTTCCCCTGAAACAGAAAAAAAATTACTTTGCAACTTCCCATGATATTCAGTCTGATTTCTACTTTGTGAGTTTTAGATGTAAATAAAGAACATTTAAGGCTTTTGGAAATTAGAGTATACTCAAAGCCCATTTCCAGCCACCATGTTTTATTTTGGTTTGGATAGTGTGTTCCATTATGCAAATCTTGTCCAACTGTGTGATCCAGAGCTTGAGTCTGTTCCCTCTGGTCACTAATATTGGCCAGTGGGGCAACAGGTCGCAAGGATGTGCCAGTTTTTAGGCATGGGAGAGGACAGGTTCTGTTTCCCCACACTGGTATTTTTGATTTTTAAAGTAGTTATTCCTGAGTTTTGGGATACCTAAGGCATCATAGATCAAGGTTAGTCCAAAGTACAAGCTCCTAAATGTACTTTTTAAAGCAAGGAAATTCTGATTTAATAAAGTTTAGCTGGAAAGCTTAGATACTCTTTTGCCAGATCATTTTAAGAAAAATCTTGCCATAAGATATGTTCATTTAACATTTTGTGCATGTTATTTGTCTGTAAAAGCCTTACCATTGTAGACATCTAAAAGCCCCGAGCCTGCTGCTGGTTGCTGCCATCTTGGATGTGATGTCAGCAGCCTCAATAGATTCAGAGCTGTCACTCTAGCGAAAGTCTACACTTTCGCTAGAGAGGAGGAATGGAGGAGCTTTGCTAGCACAGAGAGCAATGAGACGCTGTCAGTGTGCTATATCATGCAGAGAGGGATGGGGCTGTGCTAGGGAATCGGCTATCCTGAAGTAGTCAGATTTTCTAGCAAGTTCAAAAGCACATTGCAAGTAAATTTTAACAAAATATGGAAAGAAAATACACTGCAAGTAAGCATTTCAAAATCTCTTTTATCTTCAATTTCTTAACCCAGTGACAGGGTCTCTTTAAAGACTAAAACATTGTCCTAAGCAGTACCTCTTTAAAGTTTGCTTTATTTTACTATGGCTTTTGAGATTTGGCCTCCTCCTCTGACTCCCCTTTCTAGCAGATGGGGTAACGGACATCAGTTATGAATGTCTAAAAGTAGTGTTATTAGTTTTTTTTCTGTATAAGGCAGTTTAATGTATCTCCTTAAATGAACACTTGAAAATGATTCCCATACACTATGTGCAGCCTTTCCTCATTGTAGCCTCTTTAATCAAGTGCAGGTTGATGGATTCACTCATTGCATGGTCCAGACACTCCATTGCTTCTCAGGGTGGTGTACTGCATTCTGGTTGAACACATTTAGCGTATCATGGCTGTTGATCTTGTGCATCGTAAAGATGAAAACACAAGTTACTGACCTGCCGCAATATGCAGCAATAAAGTAATAGAAGAGTGCCCTTCCCCGCAGTCTGTGGTCCTCTATATGAGACCCTTCTGACTATGCTGAAGCGTTCCTCCGTGCTCAGCACATATGGCGGGTGCATTGTTCTGAAAGCACAATTGAACTAAAAGTGGCACAAAGCCTCAGCAAATCTAAATAGCAGGCAAATAGTAGGCTTCTCATCCATAGCTTTCAGCTTCTGCTTTAATGGACACATAAATACCATAATCACATGTTTTTTTTCCTCTGTGCATTTTACCACTTTTGGGAAAATGTCCATTTTAAAGGAAATGTTTTTTTTTAAACTATTTTTTGCAGCAGTGTAAATGCCATTCACATATGTCAAGAGGATTTTGTCTATAAGAAAAGAGAAATAGCTGGCTAGTAAACCACTGTTTGTTTTTAATTTTTGTGTTACATTTCAGGAAAAGAATTGATGTGAAAATGTTTAATCATCTCCTTACATATGTGGAGGTAAAAAAAAAAAGCAGACTTCCAACCAGGTGGCCCATGACACGCTGCATGCGAGGCACGGATGTTCGCATTTAGTGTGTGAGCTGAGCGCGGCCAGATGAAAGACTGCATCTTCAGCCAATCGTCTCGCACCCTGCAACCGAATGGACTTTGCATTGTGACGTGCGAGTTTATACGTGCAAGACGATTGGCTGACGATGGCATTTTTCATCTCGGTACGCTCCGCTATGCAAGCTCTCGCAAGCTGACGCGCCGGAGTGAAAATTACATGACACACTGCACGCGAAGGTCCGCGCACCACCGCTTCGCATACAGTGTTTCACAGGCTTAAAAGAACGGTTGACATACATTTAAGTGAACTGTATTTGTAATTTCGGTCAGCCTTGTCTTGTGATTCACACACACCCTATCACACTGTGCAACTTTAGAAAGACACACTGTTCAAAGCTCCGTAGGCTCCTGTGTCCTCTCCAGTCAATGAGTTTGACCAATATTGAACAGTAGCATGCTTGTCTTGTAAAGCTGACTAAGCACCTCCAGACACCAGTGCCTGCAACATGTTAGAATGACGCTATTGTAAATGCAGTAGTGCCTGGTTGGATCTTGCTCCTGGTGCTAGCTCTCTCCATCACTGCCTGAGAGCCTGTTTGACTTGAAGTGAAAGACAGGATCAAGGCACAATCATTGTACAGCATTGCTGAAGACTAAGGAGAGTCTGCTTATGGTAAAAGCAGATATGGCTGCCCGTTTGTATAGATATAATTACAATGTATACATACACGCAAAGCTTTTAAATTGGACATTCAATTGGTTTCTTACTAAAACAATATTAAAAACACTGTAGTTCTTTAATGTAACATATAGGAATACATTTACCTGAAAGGGTTTTTCAATGTATATAACTGGCCCAAAGGTCTTTTGTTAATTTTTTATTTTACCTGTTTGTAAGAACTCCAGGCACCCTCCCTGCCCCCCGAGATATTCCACATTCTGTTTTGTCTAAAACGTTACGTGTGTTGCCAGAAAAGCAGAAAAGAGGGGTTAACTTTCAGTGGCTACAGGCACAACTATCAGAGTTTGGATTTTCTCTAAATTGGGAGAGATTCACACTTCCTGTTGTGTTTCTGTGGATGGGAAGGTGTTTCTGTGGATGGGAAGGGTAGATCTCCTAGATCAGGGGGTCATCAACCTGTGGCCCCCGGAGCCGCATGTGGCTCTTTCATCCCCCTGCTGCGGCTCCCTGTCCAGTGCAGAACTGATCTGCCCTTGAACAGCTGTTCGGTCCTGAAATGTCACATTTATCCGACTTTGGGATGGAATGTGAGATCGCACTCACAGAGTCGGATAGAAGTTACATTTCAGGACCGAACAGCTGTTCCAGGGCAGATCAGTTCTCCTGCACATATGATTTGCGATGCCAATCTGCCCTGGAAAAGCTGACAAAGCGTTGGAATGCTTGACCTACTGGTGGTCACACATTGCACCGCCAAAAAACAGGGCATGATTACATTGAAATGTGTGACCACGTCACCGGTCACGCATTGTAACATAGTCACAAACTTTGATAGAACACCGCCATCAGGGGGGTATGACCGGTACCCATGTGAGGAGTCTGCGCAGCCTGGGGGGCCTCTTACATGAGTATCAGCTGTACCAGGGGCGGCATGGCAGAGGTGACAGGGGAGGGAGTGGAGGAGGCCAGGCCCCAGGAGCTACAGGTAAGAGGAGTTGGGAGGAGGTACAGTGAAAGGGACCCGGCCACCAGCCCACCTGAGGCCCTGCAGAGCCTACCATAGAGAGTCTCAGATGGGCTGTGCAGGATCTATGGTGTGCTTTGCAGGGTCACTCTCAGGTAGGCTCTGCGGGGTCTCAAGTAAGCCCAGAGTCCAGTACGTTACTAAGCCCAGAGTCCAGTGCGTTACTAAGCCCACATATACTTATATTCATGCTATACATAGCATAAAGGTAAAAAAAAACGATATATGCAGTGTTATCTTCATTTTAGATGTCAAAAGGGTTTTGTGGCTCCCGGAGTTTTCTTTTCTGTGGGAAACGTGTCCAAATGGCTCTTTGAGTGTTTAAGGTTGCTGACCCCTGTCCTAGATCCTTGGTTCTCAACTGGTGGGTCATGAAGGAGCTCCATTCATACATGCATTGCTTACAGCTCCCTCGCATGCCCTGTAGAGGTGTCTGGACCAGGTTGATGTCACATTCTGGCTCCCGCCATCTCTACAGTGCATGCAAGGGAGCTGTACAAGCAATGCATACATGGATGGAGATCCATCACAGCACAACAGCCCACGCTGGATCCAC